GCTCCATCCCTTTTTAACAAGAGACTGGACTGCCACTTTTTCTGGAATGGTAGAGGGTTTTTTTTTTTTTTGCTCGAGCAGAGGGCTGGACTAGAAGACCTCCAGGGTCCCTTCCACCTCTATTCTGATTGAGAGATTGAAGCATGCCCAACAGACGGACGGACGGATGGGTCTTCCGATCACACGGTTCATCGTTTCTCCAACTTCGAACCAGAATGAATTTTTCCAAAAATGTAAAACTGAATTTGTGTCCCGCACTCTGAAAATAAGTACTAAGGACGGGGTGGGGTGAAGGACAATATATTTTTTGTTTACCCTCTAAATCTCCAAAACGGGGAATTTCCTCCACTCTGCTTTTTGCGCAAGACTGATAATGAAATGAAGGCAAAAAAGCTTGCAGCTTCATTCACACAATATAAAGAAGCTGGAAATCCCTTTCCGGACAAACCATTGTTATTCGTTGTCAGAAACGTACATACATAACAGTACTAGTCCCTGTACTAAGGATTCGAACCGCCGAACTGCCAACCTTTCTGATCGACAAGCTCAAGCGTCTTAGCCCCTTGAGCCGCCTTTCCTGCAAAAGGGAATTCTGATTTTATTTTATTTTATTTTATTTTATTTTATTTTATTTTATTTTATTTTATTTTATTTTATTTTATTTTATTTTATTTTATTTTATTTTATTTTATTTTATTTTATTTTATTTTATTTTTTTTTATTTTTTTTTTTTTTTTTTTTTTTTTTATTTTTTTTTTTTTTATTATTTTTGCCACCGTAGATCGGTCTTTCTCAACCTTGGAAACTTTTGAAGACAGCTGGATTTCAACTCCCCGAAACTCCCAACTTTTAAGAAGGGTGGACTACAACACCCTTGTGCTGGCTGGGCAATTGTGGGAATTGGAGTCCACCCCTCTTGAAAAGTTGGGAGTTCTGGGAGTCGATGTCCACCCCATGTTCAAAAGTTTCCAAGGTTGGGAAAACACTGCGAATAGAATGGAATGGAATGGAATGGAATAGAATAGAATAGAATAGAATAGAATAGAATAGAATAGAATAGAATAGAATAGAATAGAATAGAATAGAATAGAATAGAATAGAATAGAATAGAAAATATTTAATGGAACGGAACGGAATGAGAATAGAATAGAATATAGAATAGAGTAGAGTAGAATATAGAATAGAGTAGAGTAGAGTAGAGTAGAGTAGAGTAGAGTAGAGTAGAGTAGAGTAGAATAGAATAGAATAGAATAGAATAGAATAGAATAGAATAGAATAGAATAGAATAGAATAGAATAGAAAATATTTAATGGAACGGAACGGAATGAGAATAGAATAGAATATAGAATAGAGTAGAGTAGAGTAGAATATAGAGTAGAGTAGAGTAGAGTAGAGTAGAGTAGAATAGAATAGAATAGAATAGAATAGAATAGAATAGAATAGAATAGAATAGGTATAGAAAATATTTAACGGAATGGAACGGAACGGAACAGAGTAGAGTAGAGTAGAGTAGAGTAGAATATAGAATAGAGTAGAGTAGAGTAGAGTAGAGTAGAGTAGAATAGAATAGAATAGAATAGAATAGAATAGAATAGAATAGAATAGAATAGAATAGAATAGAATAGAATAGAAAATATTTAACGGAACGGAACGAGAATAGAATATGGAATAGAGTAGAGTAGAGTAGAATATAGAATAGAGTAGAGTAGAGTAGAGTAGAGTAGAGTAGAGTAGAGTAGAGTAGAATAGAATAGAATAGAATAGAATAGAATAGAATAGAATAGGAGTTATTTACACACAAGGAATTTGTCCTTGGTGCATATACTCTCAGTGTACATAAAGAAAAATAAAAGAAAATATATTCATCAAGAATCACAAGGCACAACACTTAGCGATAGTCACAGGATGCTAATAAGCAATCAAATCATACTAGGCAGCTAAATCAAACAATCTAAATTGTAAAGCTACAAGCAACATGGTTATAGCCATAAGTGGGAAGAGATAGGTACTAGAAAGGATGATGATGAGAATAATAATAATAATAATAATAATAATAATAATAATAATAATAATAATAATAATAATAATACAGTGTTAGTAAATAGTTTGACAGTTGTTTAGCAGAGTGATGGCATTATATACCATTATATAGACCAAACACACTACTTTTCCTCCTGCAATATTCACACAATTTGGTGACCAAGCCAGCAAGCCACGTTCGGCTTGTCAATCTAGGTTTATCAAAAGGGGCTCTGGACCCCCACCCAAAAAAAGGCGCACAAGAGGACACCCCCCAATTTCCAACCACTGTTGTTATTGGTTTTTTTTGTTTTTGGACCCACAATAACTATTGTGGTGTATCCGCAACAGGCACTCCGCCACAAACTCGCTCAACCGGGTCCTTAAAGGATCTGCTTAAACTTGAGTTTAAGTGAAGTATTAACTCGTGGGTAGCTTTAACCCGTTTGGTCTTGCGGGAACAGCAGCCCACGGATTTGTCCCCGAGTGGATTCGGGGTTCAGGTCCAGCGGGGTCTCTGCTCCACTCGGGAGCGGATTCTGGGAAGCCCGGCCTGCCTTGCAGGATTGTTGTTGTTGTTGTTGTGAGTCGAAACTCACAATCCTCTGCGTGGGCACGACTTTAGGACCTCCCAAAGTCCCGTCCCGACCCCCAGAGGGGGAAGCTAAAGCCTTGGGACTCTCCTTCCCCAGCTCCACTCCGTACTACAAGTCCCATCTTCCTGATGATGGGCACTGTAGTCCTGCACACTCTCCCCCGGGGTTTTCAAAAGCACTGGATTCCCATGCGCAGGAGTCTCACTCCTTCCTTCCTTCCTTCCTTCCTTCCTTCCTTCCTTCCTTCCTTCCTTCCTTCCTCCCCTCTTTTCCACCTACCTACCTACCTACTTTCTTTTCTTCCTCTCTCCTTTCCCCTTCCCCCCTTCCTCCCCTCTTTTCTACTTACCCACCTACTTTTCTTTTCTCTTCTTCCCTTCTTCTTTCCTTCTTCCCTTCCTCTCTCCTCTCCCTTTTTCCTTCCTTCCTTCCTTCCTCCCCTCTTTTCCACCTACCTACCTACCTACTTTCTTTTCTTCCTCTCTCCTTTCCCTTTCCTCCCTTCCTCCCCTCTTTTCTACTTACCCACCTACTTTTCTTTTCTCTTCTTCCCTTCTCCTTCCTTCCCTTCCCTTCCTCTCTCCTCTCCCTTTTTCCTTCCTTCCTTCCTTCCTTCTTCCCTCTTGCTTCCCCCCCCCCTCCCTCCCTTCTCCATCCCTCTTTTCCCACCTACCTACCCTCCTTCCTTTCTTCCTTCCCTCTTTTTTACGCGTTTCTTACAAACAGCCGCTTTGGGTTCCTAATTTTCTGTCCTGACCCACTGCTGGATCACTTGGTGGGATTAAAGGGATCCCCCCCCCACTTTGGGGGATCTGCCCCTCTCCGCCCCATTTCCCCTTCTTTGCTGCCTTCGTCCCATTCCCTCCCGGGCTGTGGATTTTCTCCAGGATCTCTTTCCACCCCAAACTTCTTCGCAACTCCTTCTCGAGTGTTTCTCTCTCTCTCTCTCTCTCTCTCTCTCTCTCTCTCTCTCTCTCTCTCTCTCTCTCTGTGTGTGTGTGTGTGTGTGTGTGTGTGTGTGTGTAAAACTCCCCACACCTGCCCGGTATCCATCGGCTGCTCTAGGCGGCCCTGGCTACCTGTGCGCACAGCTGGAGACACCTTGGAGCTACCACCTGCTTAAAGGTTTCCTCCCTAGTCTAGTCTTTCCTTCCTTCCTTCCTTCCTTTTTCTCTCCCTCTTTTCCACCTACCTACCAACTTCCTTTTCTTCTTTCCTTCTGTCCTTCCTCCTTCCTTCCTTCCTTCCTTCCTTCCTTCCTTCCTTCCTTCCCTCCCTTTTCCCACCTCCCTACCTACATATCCTTCTCCTACCTATTTACTACCCTCCTTCCTTCCTTCCCTCCCCCTTTTTCCACCTACCTACCTACCTACCTACCCTCTTTCCTTCCTTCTTTCCTTCCTTCCTTCTTTCCTTCCTCCCTTCCCTCCCCCTTTTCCCACCTACTTACCTACCTATCTACCTATCCTCTTTCCTTCCTTTCTTCCTTCCTCCCCTCTCTTTTCCCACCTCCCTACCTACATAACCTTCTCCCACCTACTTACTACCCTCCTTCCTTCCTTCCTTCCTTCCCTCCCCCTTTTTCCACCTACTTAGCTACCTACCTACCTATCCTCTTTCCTTCCTTCCTTCCTTCCTTCCTTCCTTCCTTCCTTCCTTCCTTCCTTCCTTCCTTTCTTCCCTCCCTTTTCCCACCTTCCTACCTACATACCCTCCTCCTACATACTTACTACCCTCCTTCCTTCCTTCCTTCCCTCCCCCCATTTCCCACTTACTTAGCTACCTACCTACCTATCCTCTTTCCTTCCTTCTTTCCTTCCTTCCTTCCTTCCCTCCCTTTTCCCACCTTCCTACCTACATACGCTTCTCCTACATACTTACTACCCTCCTTCCTTCCTTCCTTCCTTCCTTCCCTCCCTTTTCCCACCTTCCTACCTACATACCCTTCTCCTACATACTTACTACCCTCCTTCCTTCCCTCCCTCCCCCTTTTTCCACCTACCTACCTACCTACCTATCCTCTTTCTTTCCTTCCTTCTTTCCTTCTTTCCTTCTCTCCCACTTTTCCCACCTACTTACCTACCCTCTTTCCTTCCTTCTTCCCTTCCCTTCCCCCTTTTCCCACCTACTTACCTACCTACCTATCCTCTTTCCTTCCTCCCTTCCTTTCCCACCATTTACCTACCTTCCTTCCTACCTTTCTCCTGCCTACCTTCTTTCCTACCTACCCTTCTCCGATCTCTCAGCAACGACGGTCTGCCTTCCACCTCCCTACTCACGACGCCTCCTCCGACCTCCCCTTCCCCCAAAGTTGCAGAGAGACCCTCTCCAGGCGCCCAGGTTGGTCCCTGGGCGCCCTCCGCCCCCTCACCTGCCCGCACTCACCTGGCACTCGGCGGCTGAGCTCGCAATCCGGCTCGCTTCGCCCTCCCCGAAGCGCTCTGGAGCAGCAGCAGAAGGATGCGCAACTCCTGTCAAAAGTCTTGGGGTGGAGCCCCGGCTGGAGTCACAAATATGAGAAGCATCCGGGGAGGGGAGAGGAGGAGGGGAGGGGAGAGGCTGCTGGTCCCTCCCCGCAGGGGAACTCCCCAGGCGTGGGGGCAAGGCCTGAGTCAGAGGGTCAGCGGCGGGGGAGGGCGCACTCCTTGGCCCCCGCAGACAGGAGAAAGGGGGGAAGGGGTCAGGCTGTCCTGGCCCCCACTGGCATTTTTACCCCCATGGATTTCTCCCCCCCCCCACCCATATTTCTACAGTGGGGAGGGGTCTGAATGAACCCTTCATTCATTACTCATTATTAGTTATAATAATTATTAATTATTATTATTAAGTATTATAAAGTATTATAAAGTATTATTAAGTATTATTAAGTATTATTATCAATTATTATTATTATTATTATTAAGTATTATAAAGTATTATAAAGTATTATAAAGTATTATTATCAATTATTATCAATTATTATTATTAAGTATTATTAATTATTATTAATTATTATTAAGTATTATCAATTATTATCAATTATTATTAATTATTATTAAGTATTATTAAGTATTATTAAGTATTATCAATTATTATCAATTATTATTAATTATTATTATTAAGTATTATTATTAAGTATTATTAAGTATTATCAATTATTATCAATTATTATTATTATTATCAATTATTATCAATTATTATTATCAATTATTATTATTAATTATTATTAATTATTATTATCAATTATTATTATCAATTATTACTATTATTAATTATTATTATTAAGTATTATAAAGTATTATTAAGTATTATTAAGTATTATTATCAATTATTATTAATTATTATTATTAAGTATTATTAAGTATTATTAAGTATTATTATCAATTATTATCAATTATTATTAATTATTATTAATTATTATTATTAAGTATTATTAAGTATTATTATCAATTATTATTAATTATTATTATCAATTATTATCAATTATTATTATCAATTATTATTATTAAGTATTATTAATTATTATTATCAATTATTATTATCAATTATTACTATTATTAATTATTATCAATTATTATTATTAATTATTATTATCAATTATTAATTATTAGTATCTATTATTATCAATTATTATTATTAATTATTATTAATTATTATTAATTATTTAGTTTTAGTTTAGTTTTATTAAATTTGTATACCGCCCTACTCCGAAGGACTCAGGGCAGTGAACAGGCACAGGATAAAATACAGAAATACAAAAGTTAAAGACAATGTAAAACCAAATTAAATAATTTCGCCCACGACAATTAAAATCCCAGTAAATTTAAAACAAATTAAAATTTCAATTTAAAATTTAGATTATTTTAAAAATTATTATTATTAATTACTATTATTTATTATTAATATTTATTATTAATAATTATTATCAATTATTATTATAAATTATTATTATTATTATTATTAATTATTATTAATTATTTAGTTTTAGTTTAGTTTTATTAAATTTATATACCGCCCTACTCCCAAAGGACTCAGGGCGGTGAACAGGCACAGGATAAAATACAGAAATACAAAAGTTAAAAACAATTTAAAACCAAAGTAAATAATTTAGCCCACGACAATTAAAATCCCAAAAAATTTAAAACAAATTAAAATTTCAATTTAAAACTTAGATTATTTTAAAAATTATTATTATTAATTGTTATTAATTATTATTATTATTATTTATTATTATTATTATTATTAATAATAATAATAATAATAAAGCCTGAGTGGCGTAGGAGGCTAATGCCTCCTACTAAGGCAGCATTTAACATCCAGCTGCCCGCAATTGAACTGCGAGTTCAATTCTCACCAGGCTCAAGGTCGACTCAGCCTTCCATCCTTTGTAAGGTGGGTAAAATGAGGACCCGGTTTGTGGGGGCAATAAGCTGACTTTGTATAAAAAAATATACAAAAGTATGAAGGCTATTGCTTAACGCCTTGTAAGCCGCCCTGAGTCTCCGGAGAAGGGCGGCATATAAAAATACATAAATTAAAAAAAAAATTAAATTAAATTAAATTAAATTAAATTAAATTAAATTAAATTATTATTATTATTATTATTATTATTATTATTATTATTATTATTATTATTGGTTAATCTTTAGTGAGATTCACAACCTTTGAGGCTGGTTAATAGCTCAGCAGCTCGACTCCTAACCAAGGACCTAGGAACTGTTAAGGTATCGTCGGAGGATGTAAGCTGTTCCGAGTAAGGTGGTTTTTTGTAGAGTCAAAATGTTCAAGTCCGGAAAATTTAGAATTTCTAAATAGCGGGGTAGCCCTTTGGGTATTGCTCCAAGGGCTCCCCCGCTATTTAGAAATTCTAAATAATAATAATAATAATAATAATAATAATAATAATAATAATAATAATAATTATTATTATTCATTACTCGTATCCTTTTCAGGTATTCAAATTAAGTTTATGCTCTTATCTGTTATCTTATTTATGTATTTATTTATTTTATTTACTAATGGACCTTGCACGCTGCCCTATCTCCAACAGACTCAGGGCGGCTCACAACAAATAAAGCAAACAAACCATTAAAACAGAGAAACCATTAAGAAAAATTAAACCATTAAACCATTAAGAAAAATTCAATAAAAAAACCCCAGTTAAAATTCTATTAAAGCATATCTATCAAGCATATTAGATATGCTTGACAAATAAATAAAATAAATAAATAAATAAATAAATAAATAAGAAGAAAAAGAATAAAAATAATCACACCCAGACACCCAATCCCCATAATCGGTGATTGTAATGTTTATTTATTTATTTATTTTTGCCTTAGCCAATGAAAGAGAAACTTTGCAAACTTTTCAAAACTTCTTTTCCAACTTCTTTCCAACTTTTTTCCCCCCTCCCCGCCCTGAAACTTTTCAAGCTTCTTTTCGAACTTTTCGAGCTCCTTTTTGAACTTTTCGAGCTTCTTTTCGAACTTGTCAAAACTTTTCAAAACTTTCTAAAACCTTTACAAACTTTAAACGCTTTCAAAAAAACGTATGAAAAGTGTTGAGCCTCTGAAAGCTTTTCAACCTTTTAAAAGCGTTCCAACTTTTTCCAGCTTCTTTTCAAACTTTCAAAACTTTCTAAAATCTTGAAAAACGGTTTAAAAAACTTTCAAAACTTTTAAAAAACATACGAAAAGTTTTCAAAGTTTGGAAGCTTTTCAAAGCTTTTTGAAGTTTTGAAGTTTTTAAAAGCTTTTCAATGTTTTGAAGCTTTTAAAAACTTTTCAAAGTTTTGAAGCTTTTCAAACTTTTTAAAAAGTTTTAAAACTTTTCCCTCCTGAATTAAACCACCGGAGCGATTCCATGGCTCCCCATAAAGGCCTGTAAGATAGGATCCCTCTCTGAGACACTGGTCAAGGTTGAAGATGAGGTAGACTGCCTTGGAATGGGGAGGCTCCATTCAGGCAGAGAGGCTGATAATGGTTTTTTTTCCTCCAGCTGGAAAGACCCCATTTGAAGGCCAGGGAGCAAAATTCCCCACTTTCACTTTTGTTATAAACTGCCTTCCAGGAATTGCTTGGTCAGCGCAACAATGGAAGGAAAAAGAAAATAAAATTTACCTTAAATGGGACTTTCTGCTCTTACTTTATGTTGGGAAAGAATTGTGACTTAGCAGGGGAATTCTAGCCAGGCCAGGACACAAATAAGATAAGAAAATATTTATTTTATTTTATTTTATTTTATTTTATTTTATTTTATTTTATTTTATTTTATTTTTATTTTATTTTATTTTATTATTATTTTATTTTATTTTATTTTATTTTATTTTATTTTATTTTATTATTATTTTATTTTATTTTATTTTATTTTATTTTATTTTATTTTTTATATTACTTTGTTTTACTTTATTATTATATTATTTAATTTAGTTTTTTTTCATGTGACCAATATTTGCACAAACCTTGCCTACTGTTAGAAACGTATATTTTTTCAGTCTGGATATTTCTATTTCTAAGAAAAAGCCCTTTTTCTGTCTGCTAGGACAGAAATCAACTTTCTTCCCTCAGGGCGCTGGACTACAACTCCCATCCCCCAGCCTGCAGCAGATGGGAGCTATAATCCAACCCATTCCTCTCCTAAAGTAATTCAACCCCTCTACCCTGATTCTGGTGTATGTGTATATAACTTTTTCAGGGAGATTTTTTTCTCAGCCTGGCACCTTCCAGATTTTGAAGATGCCATCATGCCCCTCAAATGCCCCAATCGATTGGCACTGGGCATTCTGAAAGCCGTCCTACTTCCAGAAGGAAGGAAGGAAGGAAGGAAGGAAGGAAGGAAGGAAGGAAGGAAGGAAGGAAGGAAGGAAGGAGATGGGAATGTGGAGAAGGAAGGGAAGGAAGGGAGGGGAGGGAGGGAGGAGGGAGGAAAGGAAGGAAGGAAAGGAAGGAAGATGATAATGAGAAGGAAAAGGAAGGAAGGAGGGAGGGAGGGAAGGAAGGAAGGAGATGGGAATGTGGAGAAGGGAAGGAAGGAAGGAGGGAAGGAGGGAGGGAAGGAAGGAGGGAGGGAGGGAGGGAAGGAAGGAGGAAAGAAGATGGGAAGGAAGGAGGAAAAGGAGATGGGAAGGAAGGAGAAAAGGAGATGGGAAGGAGGAGAAGGGAAGGAAGGAGGCAAGGAGGGAGAGAGGGAGGGAAGGAAGGAGGGAGATGGGAACGAGGAGAAGGAAAGGAAGGAAGGAAGAAAGGAAAGGAGATGGGAAGGAGGAGAAGGAAAGGAAGGAGGGGAGGGAAAGAAGGAGGTAGGGAGGGAAGGAAGGAGGGAGATTTGAATGAGGAGAAGGAAAGGAAGGAAGGAAGGAAGGAAAGGAGATGGGAAGGAGGAGAAGGAAAGGAAGGAGGGGAGGGAAGGAAGGAGGGAGGGAAGGAAGGAAGGTAGGAAAGAAAGAAAGGAAGATGATAATGAGGAGAAGGAAAGGAAGGAAGGAAGGAGA